CTGAGCCGTACCGTGCCGAGTCGTACCACGCAGTGGAAAAGCGCCATTAGTAACACATACAGCTGTTCCCTCACCACAGTGCAACACCCCTTTCAAACAGTGTCGCGTTCCGAACGTTGTTTAAGCGACATACACCGGTATTGCGGTATTTTCAAAATTCATATCATAACAAAAATAAAAACCGGTATTCGGTATGAACCGGTATACCGCCAAGCACTAACTAAATCCACCAGCAGGTGGCGGCAAGTCACCTGATTTTATCACTGAATCATTCATTCAATTGATTCGTTCGAACGGCTGAATCATTCAGGAATGAAGCAAGTGACTGTCTTTATGAACTGACGGAAATCCGTCGTAGCGACGTAACTTTAATCCCGGTCTCAAATGGACCATTGACACTATCTACAATCTCGATTAGGAGTGTCAATGGTCCATTTGAGAGATAGGTGGCGGTAATGCACTTATAAGTCCGCCGTAAAGCAAGAAGAAGAAGACGTGTCACACGCAAGCTGTCGAGGACGCGCTCAGGACAGTTCAGACAGTTCAGACTTTGCAGGGCATCAGATGTAAAAAACAATATAAATACTGTTCAGTTTCTTGCACAGACCGATTGTTTCGTGTCTTCACACATCAATGTATTGTCACGAGCCGCAGGGTTTAATTTGGTTTTGTTTGTGTATGTTTTTCAAACATGAAATGACTCTCAAAGCCGTGATTCCCATTCACTTCCATTATAAGACTGACGGCTGAATCATTCAGGAATGAAGCAAGTGACTGTCTTTATGAACTGACGGAAATCCGTCGTAGCGACGTAACTTTAATCCCGGTCTCAAATGGACCATTGACACTATCTACAATCTCGATTAGGAGTGTCAATGGTCCATTTGAGAGATAGGTGGCGGTAATGCACTTATAAGTCCGCCGTAAAGCAAGAAGAAGAAGACGTGTCACACGCAAGCTGTCGAGGACGCGCTCAGGACAGTTCAGACAGTTCAGACTTTGCAGGGCATCAGATGTAAAAAACAATATAAATACTGTTCAGTTTCTTGCACAGACCGATTGTTTCGTGTCTTCACACATCAATGTATTGTCACGAGCCGCAGGGTTTAATTTGGTTTTGTTTGTGTATGATTTTCAAACCTGATCAAAGCCGTGGTCTCAAATGGACCATTGACACTATCTACAATCTCGATTAGGAGTGTCAATGGTCCATTTGAGAGATAGGTGGCGGTAATGCACTTATAAGTCCGCCGTAAAGCAAGAAGAAGAAGACGTGTCACACGCAAGCTGTCGAGGACGCGCTCAGGACAGTTCAGACAGTTCAGACTTTGCAGGGCATCAGATGTAAAAAACAATATAAATACTGTTCAGTTTCTTGCACAGACCGATTGTTTCGTGTCTTCACACATCAATGTATTGTCACGAGCCGCAGGGTTTAATTTGGTTTTGTTTGTGTATGTTTTTCAAACATGAAATGACTCTCAAAGCCGTGATTCCCATTCACTTCCATTATAAGACTGACAGACTGCAACGGGTTGAGCTAAAAATCTTCGTTTGTGTTCTACTGCAGAAACAAAGTCACCTACATCTTGGATGCCCTGAGGGTAAGCAGATAAACATCAAATTTTCATTTTTGGGTGAACTATCACTTTAAGAAGAAAAAGGAAACACATATATGCTGTAAAAGTAACCAAACACCAACCAAAGAACACCTGCCCTACCCCTGACATAAGAGCCATAAGAAACATTTACACATAGGCACAAAAGAAAGGTGGGCAATTACTGTAAAATATATTAAGAAAATGACAGTTCAGCACAGGTAACTACCAATGAAAACAAAAAATATGTTAAAATAAGTCATAAGCACAGTTCACATATTAACACAGTCAACTTTAAACACTTGGGCATGAGAGGTCATTTTTAGGTTGAAATAATTAGGTGATTATTTTATCACTGAACAGTTAACGTTATAGCAGTTAAAAGAAGTTGCTAATTAACCAGGCTTTTTTTTCCACAGAACTTGAGACAGGGAGGTTTAAGGATTTCATTAGTGTTAGATTTCTCTTTAAAAATAAATATGACAAGTAAGAATGAAGTGATGAGTCCATCTAACGTTATAATAACGTTAGACTGTTTCCCAGGAGGTAACATTAACGTTACATACAGTGTATTTACGTTATCAATGAAATAAATGAATGAATTTAATAAGCTCAGTCTAACTTAGTGTCATATCCACATAAATCATTATGATGGTTTCTATGGATAGGACCTGCAGTTCCTAAAAGGAATTAACGTTGAGTTTACTAAAAAAACAGTTAAAGTTAGCAGTTGCATAGCGCTAGCATAGCACTTCCAAACACACAATATTTTACACCTTTGTGAATAGTTTACCTGTCAGGGTCTTTGGGAAAACGATGAAAGGCAAGATTGGTACTGTTGCACTGATAGTTTTTGCAGTTGATTGCCGAACATTGCGTTCTTTTATTCCACTTTGACTTCTCTTTCGTTGTCATTCTGTTTGTTTCTGTGCATCTGAGCTGTTGTCCAGTAGTGATGTCCGGTTCGTGAACGAATCGTTCGATTTAACCGGTTCTTCTTAGTGAACCTGTTGAACCAGTTCACCAAATCGGACTGAATCGTTTGAAACGGTTTACGTCTCCAGTAAGCATTAATCCACAAATTACTTAAGTTATTCACTTTTTTCTGGATGACGGGTGGAGATTCATACTTCTCTACAGTGCTCCGTGGGAGATTTTCTTCTTCGCGCTCATGTATTGTGCTGATATGGCCAGTGCATTGCTGCCCTCTACAGGCCTGTGGTCAGAAGGTAAAACGTTCCAGATAGGGATGGGCGATACCCCTTATTTTGTTTTCGATACGATACCGATATTTTTCAAGGCAGTATCGTCGATATCGATACCGATTTGATACTTCTGCACTAAACGTTTAAATTATGAAATTTGTTAAATTATTAAATTACTAAGAGTAAAATGGGTAATGAAAACCACTTAACTTTATGTTTAAAACGCATTTTAACCCGTTTAATCCCAAATTTTTCCCAGACATGAAAATATCCAAATGATGTGTCATTAGTAACCCTTTGAAATAATTAATTTTTTTTTTTTTTTTGGAAAAGTGTGTGAAAATTTTTATTTTATGGTCAGTCACAATTGTAACCGGTGGGATAATGTGTATACTGAATTAACATATTTCTGCAGTCTTAAAAATTGTTATATATCTTAGCCCAGCTTTTTTAAACTGTTTGATCACATTCTAGGGTTACTATTATGCATCAAAAACCCTTATACAACATTGATAGGAATACTGAGATCAAATACAAAAAAATACAACCATCAACGTATTTCAAAATTGTTACTTTTTTGTAACATATATCATCACATTTTTATATTAGTGCTACCAGTATTACAACATTAATATTCTAAATTATTTGTAACATTTGAACTTTTGATTTAATGCAATATTTTGTACTGCCATTAGGGACCGCCAGTGAATGGCTGTTGCATGCATAAAATGCAACCTTTTTATTCTGACAGTGTATGATTTCTAGTAACATTACAGAATAGAACATGATCAATATTATCTTTCAACGTTCAATTTAAATAATTGTAATTGCACAAACTATATAGGCTACAATTTCAATTTGTTTATTGTGAAATAACTGAAACATTTGTTTTTTTTCAGTCCTCTGATAAGCATTGTTCAGGGCTGCCATTCCCAAAAGCTTTAATGCTTTCTTATGATACTTTTGGGAAACGCAGCCCTGTTTGAATGCACTGTCAGCAGTGAGTGAATGCTCTCTGTGATTGATTGGTTCTGTCTTGCAACATTTGCGTGTGTTCAGATGAGCAGGAAAATAGTTCTATCCTACACAATTACTCGCTAAGAAAGGTTATTCGTCCAATTCAATGCATATTGTACGCATTATTATTATTATTATTTATTTATTTTTTGTTAAATAAATAAAACCACTGGTAAATAAAACGCACATTATTATCGATATTTTTGTTTGAGTATCGATACTTTCGATACTCGCGTCAGTATCGATATATCCAAGAAAGACGGAGAACACCCGTGTGGAACGCTAGTGAGACTTATCTTTGATTTGTAAAATGTCTTTCATAAGAAAGCCCACCACTTCTGGTTGACTTTGCACCGAGCAATGGACCCTTTTCACAAGACTGTGATGACACGTTTAACGGCCATCAGCATCGTAAATCCTCGAAAGTTTTTCATATTTGTAGTTTTTAAAAATTTACATTTATAACACTATTCTTTGTATTATATCACCTTTGCATCAAATTACAAAAAAAATAAATAAAAATAAGCAGTTAACGCTAATGCCAGGGTGTTTCTAATGCATGTTAATGCCAAGTGTAAACGCAGCCGAAGACTACCCCGATAAAAGATTAAAGTGATTATTACGTTTTGAATATGGTTATTTTTCTTACAAAAACGCATTGATTCGCTACAGGAGGCCTTTGTTCACCCCCCGGAGCCGTGTGAAGCACTTTTTTATTATGGATGGATGCTCTTTATTTAACTTCTTTTGGACTGATGCACTGCAACGCCTGCTGACTGCCATTAAACAGCTTGGAAGATAAAAGTCAATTTTTAATATAACTCCGATTGGATTCATCTGAAAGAAGGAAGTCATACGCCTAGGATGGCTTGAGGGTGAGTAAATAATGGGCTAATTTTCATTTTTGGGTGAACTAACCCTTTAATGCTGTAAAACAGGTTTACTGATTCATGAATGAATCCTTCATTTGAAGTGTTTCTTTTAAAATAATTTAATAAAATGAGCAAAACATTAATAGTGAAGTTTTAATGCTTTAAAAATCTTTTAGTTATGACTGAATCATGAACAAATCCTTCATTTCAACTGATTCTTTAAAACAATTTAATAAAATTGGCAAAACATTCATAATGATGTTTTAATGCTTTAAAAATCTGTAGTTATGACTGAATATTGAATGAATCATTAACTTCCACAGATTCTGTTAAAATAAGTTGATCAAATTTGCAAAACTATTTGCAAATCACTGCTCTAAGAGAAAAGCTTGTTTTCCTGTTTTTGACGAATAATTACTGAAAAACATGATAAATAAGATTTTATTAATTCGTTTTTTTTAATTGGCAACAAAATTTTATTGACACTTTAAAACATCAATAATTATTTAAATGGAAAAACTACTGAACAACAGGTCAAGAAAACATCTTTAGTTATGGCTGAATCATTTCAACTGAAATAATTTGATCAATTTTCCAAAACAACTACAAATCATTCCACTGTAAGAAAAAAACATTATAAATATCAGTATTTAACTAAAATGTATTTTTTTCCACAAAAATAAAACATGAAGCCATACAGGACTTCTGCAAACACTTGACTATGTCTCAAATGAATCTATGAAGCTGAAAATAATTTTTTCACTGAAAATAACTAGGTAAAATGACAGATTCACTAAATAACAGTCTGAGGGTGATAGAGAAGAACAATACCTTCTTGTGCTTTGCGCACAAATCCCTGGAGTAGGCCTACACATGGCAAAGGTGTCACACTAAAGTTTGAACTCCATTAAGACTGTAAACATCAGTGACCTAGACAAATCTGTGAAAAGAGGTCACTGTTCATTAAAAGTCGGTGTTACTGTTAGCTGTATGTCTGATACTGAAACAAAATGATTTCTAAAATACAGCAGAGGCATTTAGACATCACCAGAGGGAATTTGGGCAACATTAAAGCCATTCTGTGTGAAATAAAGGGGGTGACGGATTTCGGGAATCTGTAAAGCTGCCTTGTCGGATTTGGTGACCTTGCTGTAGGCCTATATCTGTTACTGTTCACATCTGAATAAACTGAACAACTAACCACAGAACTTTTACTCATAAATCGAAATTCTATATTCTAAAATAGCCCAACCATAGTGAACTATTAAGATAACCCAAGCTAATATTTTAACTATATAAACTAAATTTGAAATACTAAAACTTTAGTTCTGCTCAATTGGTCGCAGTGGCCAGATTAACATTTAAATGCTACTTGACTGAAGAAGCACATTTTTCTAAGAGTCTTCAGCATATCTGCATATTTAATTAAGGATTTATTTATCTGATTCGATTTTTGGAAATGCATTAAACATCTGCTTTGCTCAGTGTATCAGTTGTCTTTAAAGTTTATTATAATTTTTCAGGTTACTTTTGTTAAAATGTTGCAACTAGTGTATAGTTTCAGAAAAGTTCAGTCAGTATCTCACCTCATTTCTTCAGCAGAGGTCACATACTGTATAGAGATAATTAAACAACAGCAATTTAACATCAGTTTTGCTGAGCTTTTCCCCCAACTTTGCATAGACATGAAATGAGGCTTGACAAGACAGTATTCACTCTCAACATTCATATGTACAAAAATGTAGAGGAAAAAAAAGGCTACAAAACAAAAACTAATCTGACCTCCAACAATACAATGTCAACAATAGAATATTTTAGGAAACTTTATTTCCACATTATACCTTCAAATATTTTTTCAATATGTTCAAAAACAAAAGCGAGTGCACTGTTTAAGCGGCCACTGTACTTAAACAGCCCTGAGATCATTACACTGGCATCATTTGGATTACCCAGTCCAACAACAACAACAAAACAAGAAAAAGTGCAGTCTCTGGCTTCTTCGACTATTACAACAGATTCTGAGCTCCTTTACATTTTCATTGCAAACATGTATTTGAAAATAACACTGTAGTGTGGAAACCCACACCACCTGGAATTTAATATCGTTCGTTTAGTTTCATTTCATAAATAAGTTAGGATTGTGGATCTTCACTGGTAGATCACCTCTACGAGAGAGAAATGGCAATTAAGAAGGTATATGAATACAGAAGAATTTACTCAAGTATCCGCCTTAGAAGTTGAAATTAAGTGCATTACAAGTGCATATCACTACACTGAGGTCACATGGCTGGTCATATCATTCAAATTATAATCAATACTGTGAAAAACAAAAGACTTAAATTATAGTCCTTACATCCATTCTCAATAAGTGCGTTTTTTCTCTCCAAATCATTCCAAAAGCATTTTTTCTCCAAAAGCATTCGTTTTGAAAGAGATTTGATTCTAAAATATACAAACGAGATGTCTCCTAATCTGCTCTTTTAAATTAGAATTCAAATCCATGTTCAGTCATATCAGCTCAGTCTTCATAATCTTACGAAAAGTAGCAAAGTTTGCTTTAGGTAACAGCCATCTTTCATTTCATTCTAATGGGCATTAATGTAGTTTTCTCCGAGCGTTTAGACCATCTGTGTGGATCTGGCTTCCATCTGTCATAAAAACAAAATGTTATTTTATCTCTCAAAATAACACTAATGTGATTGTTCAATGTAATGCTGGCTTAATTTAACCAATCAACATGAAACGACACTCGTGACCCATTTTACTTCCATAATTTCACAATTCTTTCATATGACAGAATATTTAATAATTTAAAATATGGCAGGGCTTAAATTGATTTCATGTTGATTTTAAAACACTACAAAACTAGAACAATGACATCATATAGTCTAGTTTATGATATATAAAATAAAAAAATGAAATTAATGGTTTATTTTTTAACCAAATGGTGTCCCTTTGTATTTGTCAACTATAACATTAAAAAAATATATTTATTAATTAACTACAGTGCTCTCCACTAATATTGGCACCCTTGGTAAATAAGAGCAAATGCGGCTGTGAAAATATATCTGCATTGTTTATCCTTTTGATCTTTCATTAAATTTTTTTACAAAATTCAAACCTATCATTGAAGTAAAACAATTGAAAAGTGGGGGGGAAATCTCATTGTGAAATAAATGCTTTCTAGTTCATCTTGGCCACAATTATTGGCACCCAATTCTTCCCAAGATAACAGCTCTGAGTTTTCTCCTATAATGCATGATGAGTTTGGAGAACACCTGAAAATTTACAAAATTCAAACCTATCATTGAAGTAAAACAATTTAAAGTGGGGGGCAAATCTCATTGTGAAATAAATGCTTTCTAGTTCATCTTGGCCACAATTATTGGCACCCAATTCTTCCCAAGATAACAGCTCTGAGTTTTCTCCTATAATGCATGATGAGTTTGGAGAACACCTGACAAGAGATCAGAGACCATTCCTTCATCCAGAATCACTCCAGACCCTTCAGATTCCCAGCTCCATGTTGGTGCTTCTTCTCTTCAGTTCACTCCACTCATTTTCTGTAGGGTTCAGAGCAGGGAACTGAGATGACCATGGCAGAAGCTTGGTTTTGTTTTTGATGTTTGTTTTGGATCATTGTCCTGATGGAAGATCCAACCACGGCCCATTAGAAGATTTCTAACAGAGGCAGTCAGGTTTAGATTTTTTATCTGTTGCTATTTGATAGAATCCATGATGCCATGCATCTGAGAAAGACGTCCAGGACCTCAGGCAGAAAAACAGGCCCACAACATTAAAGATCTAGCAGTATATTTAACCATGGGCATGGGGTACTTTTTATCCCCGTTTGTACTAAACCCATCTAGTGGGTTTGCTGCCAAAAAGCTCTATTTTTAAGTTTCATCTGGACCATAGAAGCCAGTCCTGTTTGAAGTTCCAGTCGAGTCGGACAACTGAATATGCAGGAGTTTGTTTTTGGATGAGTCGAGGAGAATTTTTCTTGAAACCTTCCTGAACAACATGGGGTGATGTAGGGGCTGTTTGATATTTTTTTAGGCTTTCTGACCCCAAGATTCAACTAATCTCTGCAATTCTCCAGCTGTGATCCTTGTAGAGTCAGCATTAGGACGATATAGACACACATTCTCTTCCAGGCAGATTTGTAACATATTTGGGTTGATTGGAACTTCTTAATTATTGCCCTGATGGTGGAAATTGGGATTTTCAATGCTTTAGCTCTTTTCTTAGAGCCACTTTCTATTTTGTGAAGCTCAACAATCTTGTTCTGCACATCAGAACTATATTATTTGGTTTTACTCCTTGTGATGGATGATTAAGGGAATTTGGCCTTTGTGTTCCTCATATTTATAATACTGTGGAACAGGAAGTCATGGCTGGACAATTTCATGCTCCTAGTCACCCTGGTGTGCTAAAAAAATGGAAATATGAATGGAAATATACTTCAGAGATATTTTACTCATAAGAATGCGTGTCTAATTGTGGCCAACATGCATTGGAGAAAAACATTTATTTCATCATGAGATTTTCTACCCACTTTCAATTGTTTTACTTCAATGAAAGTTTAGAATTTTTGAGAATTTTTTGAATGAAAGATCAGAAAGATCAACGATGCAGATTTATTTTCACAGCTGCCTTTACTCATATTTACCAAGGGTGCCAATAGTAGTGGAGGGCACTGTATATGAAACACTAGAGATGATCAGCTAAACTAAAACTCAGACTCATGCATTACTGGTCACACTTCAAATAAAGTTAAAAAGATAAACTCAAAACAGTCAGCTAAAGAAAAAACAAGACCAAAAAAAAGATACATAAAGCAAGCAAACATCAAAACAAGAGCTGCACAATATTGGAAAAACTGACATTAAATTATTTTATTTTATTTATTTATTTATTTTGGAAAAACTTGAAAAATGTATTAAGATTGTTATAAATAAAATATTTAAATGAGAAATGTTGTAATAACAATACTGTAAAATATACTTTAAAAGTGTTTTATTTTTACCATTTTTATTTCAATATATTTTGCAGCCCTAATTAAGATGAACACGAACAATGTGAGGGCGTTTCAACTATCCCTATGGGCTTTCCCAAAGGTGTGTAAATTTACCTAAACCAAAGAGCCATGGTGTTAAAGAATGAAGAGGAGCAGGAGAAGAAACAGGGACAGACAGAAGATGAAGCGTGCTAGAGCACAGCATGGAGTTACCTGAAATAGGAAAGAGAGGAGGAGGAAGAAGAAAACACCAGGATGACAAATGTAACATTACAGCGATGGAGCAAAGTGCTTTAAACATCACACAAGAGTTGTGCTTCAGCTCATCCATTCTATCCATTGCACACAAAGACAAGAGTACAAAATCTTGTATGGTGTATTTGAGACAGATTATGAATTTATTAAGCCCCTGTATGTAGTTAAAAGTGAAGTGTGTCATTTTGAAATGCTAGAATAGTTCCGGAATCAATTGTTGTGTGCAGTAATTGAAGCATAAATAACACACTCTACCTTTAAACAAACAGAGATGATGCTTACCAAGATCCATGGTTATTTTCAGGATCAATATCTGCTCACCGTGTGCGAGACCATGCTGGAAAGTTCCAGTTGCTGGGCCAGGAAAAACAGCTCCATTGCAGGCCTGAGGCTGTCCAGGGAGTTTGGTGCCAGGGCTGAGCCCAGGGAACGGGAGAGCATGCAGGGGGGCAAAGCTTGGTAAAACACCCAGCTGTACTGTGGTGGGGTAGGAGGATGGAAGGAGCGATAGAGAAGGAGTGGGAAGCGCTGGGTTTCCACAGGAGATCTCACCAGCTGCCTGAAGCACAAGTAAAGAAAAGTATTATTCAGTCCAACTATAAACAAAAGCTTTAAAAACAAATCCTTTCCTTCTTAGGCTCCAAAGTAATTGACTAAACTTTTTGTTATTTATAATACTATATGCATTAAACTGAAGAAAACTGACAGTAAACACATTTAAAATGTGTGTTACATAAGATTTTCAATAAATGTTGTTCTTTTGAACTTTCTATTCATTAAAAAGAATGTTTTAAAAAATGAAAGACAAAAATATTAAGCAGCACTATTTTCAACATTGATAATAAGTAATGTTCCATGAGCACCAAATCAGCATATTAGATTTCTGAAGAATTGTGACAACGAAGACTGGAGTAATGATGTAGAAGATTGCACTTTAAGATACACAAGATATATTAAAATAGTTTTTTATTTTTGTAATTATATATATAT